GTATATGATTAGTAATACTATTACGAAGATGAATGCATGCTGAAAAAATAAGGAATAAGATAATTCTGAGGTTGTTTTAGAACTAGTGATTCCGTTACCTTTCTCCAGTCCTTTATCACCTCCAATCATTTCAGACTCGCTGGATGTTATTGAGATCTGCTTGGCTAAACGACTATTATTTAGGACCGCTTCTTGAAGGAGGGTGTCTTTCTCTATCAATGCCTGTTGCACTGTGACTAAATTATCTTTTATTTGCGTTAATTCATCCTTTTTTTTGATCAATGTATCTTCTAAATCTTTTTTCTCCAAATCTAGATCAATATTTTTAGTAAATAGTTCAACATTTCTCAGTTCCCATTTAGGCCTAAGAGATTCAATTTCTGATAACTCTTCCTGTGTTAAAGAAAGATCCCGCTCTAATTCCTTTGCCTTAGATTGGAGAGATTCCATTTCTAACAACCCTCCCGTGCTGAAGAAAGATACCGCTCTAATTCCTTTGCCCTAGATTGAAAAGATTCCATTTCTAACAACCCCTCCCGTGCTGAAGAAAGATCCCGCTCTAATACCTTTGCCCTAGTTTGGAGAGCCTGTATCTCTTCCTTCATCTTAGATTGGAAGGCTTGCATCTCCTCTGATTTTATAGAGAATTTGCTTTCAGCATCTGCAAGAGAAATATTCTTGCGAGTAATCTGAAGCATAAGCTTATTTTTTTCTGAATGTAATTGTCTTATCTCTTCTCCAAGTTGGTGTACCCGATCGGAAAGTTTTTTATTTTCATTTTTGGATTTATCAAAATCATCCTGCATGCACTTATTTTCCCTATCTAAGATATCATATTTATTCGCAAACTGGCTTCCCCAATATATAGCAACTTCACAATCTTTTTTTGTGCAAGAAAATTGTTCTTCAAGCTCTATTCAACTGGAAGGATAATAATTAGCTGGAGAATCTCCAAGTTTATTACCATTATCCAGATCTTTTAAGGTACGGATCTGGGGCATTTTATTGGTATTTTTTTTACTTTTGGCAAAAAAAAATCAGCCAGAGCTTAATCTTGTAAGAAAGCGGATTATTTTTGGCGAATTTAATGCCTATTGATACTTATTGAAAAAAAAAGATCACTGGTGCATACTGAAAGGCACTGAGATGTATTTATACTTATTGATGCGCATTGAAAGAGAATACTGATATGCATTGAAGGGTACTAATATGTACTGAAGGATACTAATATGTATTGAAAAGTACTGACTCATATTGAAAGGCACCGGTATGTATTGAATCACCAGAAATATTGATACATATTGAAAAGTATTGAAAAAATTATTGGTAGTTTTTTTGCTTATATATTCTGACTAAAAAATGGTTACCCATCTCTATGAAAAATTCTATCAATCCAATGCAACCCCATTATCAGAAGCTGATATCAAGGAAATTAGAGAATCCAGAGGCAGGATACCCAATGCATCAAAAAAAATGGCTGAAAAATTCCATATTGGTGCTCAGCGTATTTATGAAATATAGAACAATAGTGAACGTCTCCAACAAGAGCTTATTTTATCTTCTTCCGATCAGCCTGCTTTAGATAAAAATTCCCAAACTGTTAAGACAGAACAGACTCTTGAAGTAGTATCAGAAGTATCCCTTCCAGCTACAGAGATTCCAAAAAAGAATAGTCAAAAAAAGAAGGTTAAAATAGATGAAAAGCTAGTTACTGAAACAAGTAGTATAGTGGAAAAAAATAACAAAAATAATGTGACCTCTTCCGCTGATAATTTGTCTGATATATCTCGAGAAGACAGGTTGGATTCTCTTCTTGAAAATCTAATTAATCGTGATGAAAAGCTTAAGGGTTTAACATCTAATACCACTCCTCTCATATAAGGATTCACATATATCAGCAAGAAATTTACGGCTGAATAGAGCATTTCTTCAGTCTTTATGAGACGCTTTTCAAGCTTTACACACTATTTTTTAAATCCTCTTCACTATTTGGGCTAGAGGAGTTAGTAGATGCTTGGTCCTGATCTTCTTTTGGTAGATCCTTGACTACTGGAGCCTTACTAAAAGTTGGGATAATATATGTCTTTCCATGATCCTCTATGCGAAACTGATTT